TATTTATATCAAATAGCAGGCGTTTTGATAGTTATCATTAACCCTTTAGTTGACTTCAGGCTTCACTGAAGAGAAGGAACAACAAAGTGGAAAAAAGTCGAGAATGGGGGGGGGAACAAAAGAGTTTTTTCAAATACGAAGGTAGAAAAAAGGTGAAGTGAGTACTGTGGAAGTAGTCGAATATGACATACAGTGGAGTGATGGTAGTTTGAAGTCAGAAGTCAACTGCCAGTTAATAGACTTTTTCGCCATATGAGTATACGTTGCCCAGGGTGCACCACGTGGAGGTAAGTCTATCGCACACCCCAGATGTTCAAAAGTAATGAGTGTTTTGTGGCATTTCTTGATTGGTGATTGCTGTTGATTTCTGGATAGCTTCTCCTTTTGCTTCACAGATTCTTTGGTAAATGATTGGTTTAGTACTGATTGACACAAGCTCACTATGACATTAGTATTAATACAGATACTAAGATGATACCTGCTACGAAGTAAGTTATCCTCTGTAGGTTTAGCCTTTAAACTCACAAAATCTAAAATAAGGTAATTGGACGAAATTACTTAATTCCTTACCTCGATATTCGGACCTCAGCGCACAGGCTATGAAATTAGCATCTTCTGGATTTGATAGCACGGAATATGATGGATTTTTCTTCTGTAGTTAAACTAACACTTCCACCCGCTATGAACTGACTCAGAGCAAACCGGTAGCATGTAAACGTTAAATTTTAAGTTGAGCTATTAAAAATTTTAAAATATATACATATATAAGTGCGATCCGGTAATTTATGGTCACTATAGCATCCTTTACATGTGGTCCTGCAACATTTGTACTACTGCATCGGCCTTGTGCCATTTTTATTAAGAATGAAGTTCAGAGTGTTAACTAGACAATGATTTCTCGTAGAGTGATTGCTGAATGGCATATCGCCATCGAATAGATTACAGATTTGTTCTTCACTCTATTAAGATTATTTGACTGATTATTATAAGTCATACATATGAAATCCATCAAACTAGAACATTCAGAATTTTTGCATTATTTAACTACCCAATCACTTTCTAGTCACCTTTCAAGCACCCACTTTCAGCCCGGAAGAAGAGCCAACCAGCGTCCGAGGAAATGCCAATGAATCCAAGCAAACCGAACATGAAGCTTGATGTCCATGGGCTATATGGAAAGTCCGTTGCATTTGCGCTGCTGTATCTCTCACGATTTGCGTTCAGACACTTGCCCTTTCTCTTTCAAAATTCTTTTTCTACTAAAATCGTTTGGAATAGCAAGAAGAGGATTGTCCGAATGCATTTTATCATAAGTAAGGTAATAAATATCATTGATTCAGCTATCATGTCTACTGTGATTTAGGTTAAAAAAAGGCAATTTAGTGATACAGCTTAACATCAAATCCTGCTATCTACACCAATATACTTGTGCAACGAGTGGATTTGAGGCTAGTGATTCAATCACTTAATAGCAGGCAATTTTCGAAGATGAAATTCCACTGAGATTTCGCCACGATAACTGAGGCGCGCACTGCTAATTAGCATTAACTAGTGTGGTAGGCAATTCTGATCACTAAGCAAGTGTGGATTTGTTTAAATCGTGGTAGTAGATATTTAAACTTCTACTGATAAAAATCTTGGATAGAAATTAACGTCGGATACAGTTTTTTTCCCGATTTAAATATAATTTGCATCACTGCTAGCTTTTAGATATTGCATTTTATCGTCATGCATAGATCAGCATATGTCTTTCAAACACTAACGGAAATTCGAGCGAAAACAGATGTATCCGTATATGTCTCCCAACTCAATGCGCCAACACCCAATTTCCCCTCCTAGTCAGCTTATAGGCGTGCTTCAAGTGTTATTGCCCAATTAACCATAATTGGCAGGGGTTTCTGATTCAACCAGGGATTTTAAAACATCATTAAAATTCGTAGGCCGTCCTAATTTTGGCACGTCGTTTAAAATTCTGTTGCCCACTTTATAACTTGTAAACCGAAGTTGACATAAGAGAAATGTGAGCCCTTCAGTAATGGCCTTAGCAGCCTTGGAGACTTCCAAGTTCTTATGAGAGTGAAAAGAAGCAAGCAGTGTTTCACGTCTGTCTACTTTCTTACCCCCTAATTATAAAATGGAATTTAGTGCTCATAAAATGTGGAACAATTTATCTACCAGGAAAAAAAGTCTACATAATGGCCTCCCTCACATTGTCTGGACATAAAACTGCACTCAAAGTTAGATTAAATACTCGGGAGGGAGGAAACATCGACTACGCAATGAGTGAGAATTATGACCCAAAATCTCTACTGTCGCAGTATCTTTGCCACGTATAGAATAAGAAACCTCCAAAGCAATCTTCCAACTCATTTACAGTAATGAGATTTGTGGCTTCATTAGCCAGCGCGTCATGATTATTATTATGGCACAGCTAAATACACACTGAACCTAAATGCTTAGCGGCACGCACCATTATCCCATCTCCTCAGTTAATAATAAAAGTAAGACGTACCTCCAGATTTGTGCATTCCAAAATACGTCGACTTGAGGCAGGTAACCAGATAACAATAATGGCATAACTATCGGGATGTTAGGATATGAAGTTTTAGGCTGAGGGCAGAAGATTACGCCAGAAATACCTATTTCCGCCTTGAAAATAATTTAAATAAACTAACTATCACTTTAAAACCCCAGAGAATACATACGGAACCGATTTATCAACATAAAACGAAGTCGCTTTATCAGGAGTTATATTGTAATGACGGGGTGATCGATAGACCTACCTTCACGTGGTGCTCCCTGAGCAACGTATACCCGTACGGCAAAAAAGTCAATAAATCGGCAGTTGACTTCTGACTTCAAACCACAATGACCTGTCTGTATGTCATATTCCACCACTTCCACAGTACTCACCTCACCTTGCCTCTTATCTCCACCTTTTTGCCTGTCTCCTTTTGCATTTGCGAATCATTCTTCTCTTCCCCCTCTCGACTTTTTGTGACTTCGATGTTTCTCCCTTCTGTGATGCACGAAGTCAACTAAAGGGCTAATGATAATTATCGTAAAGCCTGCCATTTGATGTAAATAAACATTGCGAAGACTATCATCAGTGCTAGATGTAGGTGGAACAATTTCATCCCTCCAACTTTATGAGCTAGTAGTAGCATTCCTTCTACCAAATTTGAGTAGTATTAGGAGTCACAAAAGTCTTAAGTAACGTGATTCAATGACATTAATGCATGCCCTTATACGAACAGAAACAGTCAATTGACTTGGAGTAGAGTTCCCAACCTCACCTTGGGGTTCCCGATGCTTGGAGAGTGTCCTTCCTCGTGATTCCTTGTGTTAATAAATGAAAAACCCCTTCTTTTCATTCTCCATTAAAAGCCCTATTAATGAAATACCTCACAAAGAGGTTATTTAAACCTAACTAACAAAGAACCACCTAAGCGTAAAGTATTTTCGAAAAGATAGTCAGTTTTTGAACAGACAGAAGCAGAAAAAACTGAGGCTCAATCTAAGTGTTATATTGCAAAAAATATATATCATTTGAGCTTCTTCACATATACAACATTATTTCGTACTAACTTCGTCGCCACGCCAGCATTTTGATGCCACCTCGACCTCCAATAAGGGTGAAAGAGAACGTTTCTGAGGCGATTCAATCCCAGCACCATTAGAGGCTTTATTTTCGGGCTCCTGGTTTACTTCAAAAGTGATCAACTCCTCGCACACAGAATCAGTCGACAGAAAGTTTCCATGGGATTTTTCATTGGACATTAGTTTGCCCAACACATACTTGGACCATTTGAGTCCTGTGAGAACTTCTCTAGAGAGAACATCCAGAGCAAATAACTCGTTCTACAAAATAATATAAAGAGGAACTAGACTTGATTTGGTTAAGATTCAGGAGTAAATTAGTGGCTGGTCAGTTCAAAGGAATCATTAAATCTTGATATCATTAGTAGCAGAATCATTCTGAAAACCAACTCAATGATTCCTTGAAGTTTTTGTCTTATATCAAGTAAGATCTGAAAGCATAGAATTTCAAAATTTGCTTCAAAATTAAATTTGGAACCCCCGTGGAGATTGTCTATTCACCAGGTGAGTCGACGTCTGTCCTCTTTAACACAATCTCCTAGAGCTTACCTCGTCACGGAGCATTCCTAAGAGAAACGAAACAAATCGATTCCGCCAAAGAGAACACCAAAGTGTGAATAAATGTTAAGCCTCGCGGGAAACAGATTAAAGCAAATTCTAGAAGTAGCAACAAATAACTCGAGACTAGAGTTCTTTGTTCATATACTTGAGAATGAAATGGGAAGCAAGATCATGAAACACCGTAACCAAATACAATACGTGATTGGTAGACTACGATAACTAAGACCACTCAAAAGACACTACTCATATAAAGAATGAAAACTTTTAATGGAAGACTAATACCAAGGATGCATTTCACATAAAAAATTAAATTTTATATCTTTAGTACTTAATACGACGGCATTTTCTATGGACTGTATTGCGTGTTTTCAAAGACACGAGCGGAAAGCAATAATTTACGCAGACGCCGGCCTAATTTAGCTATAATTAAATTAGATACACAAAGAAAACACAGGCTCACTTTGAAAGAAAACACTTAATTCAGAGTTGAACAAATTAAGTTAGATTTTCGGATACAAAAATGTTTTGAACATGTGGGTACTAATGTAGCAAGATAGCGACCATAATTCTAGGGTTGGAAAGCAAAAAAGTTCAAGTAAGATGCAAATCCGAAGGCTTCTAAAAGCCGGCAAAACACAAAAGTCTACATCGAGGAAATCGTTCTCTTAATCTCGGGATTCCTTAGCTGCTTGAAGAGAACATTAAGGTAAAAGATGAACACTGAGCTCACCTGGATAGGCTTGGTCAAACCACACATCGTGGCCAGCTCCGGCAGCAAATGAATAGAGGCCTGTTCAGACAGCATTCGCCACCATTCCTCCTTGATTACAAACTCTGAATCAATAAGATGTACACCATCAGAACTGCCTATATTGACACCGACAGCCCGAGTCTTGTCAAGGAGGTCCTGATTCGCTGACCTGATTTCCACTTCAGGAGTGCTGTTAGCATCATTAACAGAGGTGGGTGCATAAAGACGTTTCACGTAATATTCCAACAAGATTCCTGTCCTGCGAGCATTTGTAGCCAACGTGTGCTTAAGTTGTTTGTCGACGAGATTCGCGCAGTCGATATCATTGTTCGCCCAGTCGTTGCGAAGATTACTGCCGATAATACAGGTCTGAATTATACCGCAACTTGAGTCCTCGAATTAGATTTTAAAAAAAAATTGTTGCATGACACAAATTTTGAATGTGAAGAAAATAAGTAACATATACTTTAAAGAACAGACGCCAAGAAGCATAGTTAGTAAGAAACAAGCATTCTGTCAATCTTCTATCAACCATTATTAACTAGTTAGTCACTGAGTTAATTTAGTTTTATTTGACGTATTTCTCAAAATGTCCATAAGAAAAAAAGGAATTGTCACAAGTATCTAGTCATAAAGATAAAAGACGAAAAAGCCGAAAAAAGCTGATTTATAATTAGATTTATTAAAGGATAATATTTATGGTGCGAAGTTATTCCCCTCCACGATTAAGTGAGATAAAAAAAACCTTCTGCGTGCATTAAATTGCTTAATTCTTTGTATAAAACATTCTAATAAAACCATACTCATACGAAATAAATCATTATTATATGTTAATTACCGGCGGAGAAATATCTTTGAAGTAGTGACAAAGTCCTCTATCCTTCCTGCTCTTTGGAACGAAGGCAAAAAACTTTGGTGCCTCAGAAAATTCAAATGGAACCTCATCCAAATCTATTGACTGATAGCATATATTCATTTTCTCCCATGTTCCTGCTGTATACAGTAATGGACGCCACCAAGGTTCTTCATACATTAAAGTCACAGACATATACACCAGGATATTAGAGGACGGAGAACAAACAGGAGTCGGATTTTCAACCTCATACCTTGCTGGCATGGAGACCCGGAAATTGTGAGGCAAGAATATCTGTAATTTTTCCGATTTCTGCTCCTCTTGGTGACTTTTGAGTGCCTCTTCTGTTGGACTGTCACAGAAAATAAGCTTTATTCGTGAAGTAGGGATAGTTACAACCACCTGAGGAAGAAAACATTTTAAATAATATTACTTACTTATTAGTTATAAGTAGATATATGACTTACTGATTCAGTTTTGTGCAATTCAGTATCATTACTAACTAGGGTAAAAAGTGCAGGTGTTGCAATTATAGAATGCACGGTATTCCCAACCTCCATATTAGGTCCGAGTCCCCTTGTGATGGACGAAAAAGCGCCGGGTTCAATAAATTCCTGCGGTGCATAGTGGTTACTGAGAATTTTAAGGACGTAACGATAGAAACTAGGTCCTTTAGATTGGAGATAACTGCTGAAATCCAAAGGTGATAAATCATCCAGGAAAGGAGTTTTCGGGCAGACCTTATCCTGACTGGATAATATGAGTTCAGTCAGACGTTCCTCTATGCAGGCGTAACAATATTCAATTAAACGAAGATCAACCTAATTAGAGTGAACTAGAACGGTTAAAATTATCCCAAAACGTGTCTGAGAAGAACACAAAAGTTATTCAACTTACAGGCAATTCCATTGGGGTATCGAGTTCTAGTATCAAAGCAGCGAAGCGAGCATCCAGTAGGCCTGAAATCATGGACAAAGTTACGCTAATACGCGTCCACATTTTTGCATTTATGCTGGACAAACCTAATTAAGGACCTCATTCTGAAGTAAAATACATCGTAAGATAATCGACTCAAATAATAAAGCCAAGATACAACAAAGAGCATTTTCGAACTACTGCCCACCTTATCTACCATAATACATACTAATTTTATAAATTAAATAAATACTAATATACCCTGAATGGAGTTGGATTCAGGCGATTCTTCCAGCTGATACGCTCTAATTGTGCTGTAAAAGAGGCGATCGACAAGAGACCGAGATTTTTCCAGATGGTCTGGGTATATTCGAACTGTGCCGTCAGCCCCGCGTTGGAATAAAACTGGCAATTCTTGAGGTTTAGTAGGTAGGTTCATCTAAATTAGAACACCATATTGTGAATCACATTACAGATTCTCTCAAATGGGAAAAACTGTTCACCCAAAAGTTAACTTAATTTCAATAGTTTCTTGAAACGATCCTATAATTTCGAACTGGGGTGCGCGATAGACTTACCTCCACTTAATGCACCCTGGGAAACATAAACTCATACGACAAACAAGTCTATAAAATGGCAGTTGACTTCTGATTTCAAACTGTCATGACCCAGCTGTATGTCATATTCTACCACTTCACAATACTCACCTTACCTCTTCTCTGTCTTTGTGTCTGTCAATCTCTTTAACATCCTTGAATCATTGTTCTACCCCCCCCCCCTTTTGACTTTTTGTCACCTTAATGTTCCTCCTCTCTGTGAAGCCCGAAGTCAGCTAAAGGGCTAATGATAACTATCAAAACGCCTACCATTTGAGACAAATAAATAATTTCGCCCTAGGTTATAAATTAAGGTACCTTAATTAAGGATACTGTACGTTTTATTTTAACCAAAGCTCAAAATAAAAAAATACTTTATTCGGAATCTAGAAAAGCGTTGACGAGAAGGTAACTTAGGGCATCCCTTATTAGAAAGTGAAAATGTTACCACCCATACGATTGATCATGATCAATCACTACGGTCGGTCATTCACACTATTGGATGTTCACTAATAATGACATCGTGAACTTGGACCTGAAGGATATGAGCATTGATCACTGCGCGAATGACATACATGGAGAGTTCAAAAACACCATGCTTGAAAGAGCTTCCCCTTTGAATCACTACGCCTATGGCATAGAGGCGACAGTTTTTGAGCAAGAAACTCGCATCTCCTATACCTAAGTTTAAAAAATTCATAATCTCTAAGGTGGCAGACGTGTATTTGCGTTTGTTTGTGGTTTCATGCATTACGTAAAAGATTAAATAGGTAAATCACCTACCTGTTTCGCAAATATCATGGCGTAATTGTTGATTGGAGAGACCACATGATTAGAGATTGGGAAATCGAAGATACTTATAGGAACCTAAAAAAGTGTTGATAGGTAATATTAAGATGGTAAAATAGTTCGTCGAGCCATACCATTAATTGTTCAGTGAAGGAGGATGAACTGAATTCAGGAGTTGGCGGTAGCTTAGGGAGAGTGGAGTATAGTACTGAACTCCTCTCATTCATACCTCGGACTTCGAGACTGTTGATTATCTGGCGGTAGACAGCGGTAGATTTAAGATCAATAGGTCCGACGATTACATATCTGTGATCGATTTCCTCGCCTGCCTGAAAGAAGGGAACAAAAAATTTTAAATCTGATTATTTGAAATGCAGAAGATTCTAAACTCGAACATTAACATCTGCATGGCTTAAAATTTGAGCCACTGCATGAAGATTACCTATTCGAAGACTTTCAAAGCAACTGAGTGATATTCACAGAACTCGTACACCTGACCATGGCGGAGAGTAACTTCGACAAAATTATCAGCAATCAGATACAACCTATTCGAGTGACCTAGGCGATAACTGTAGTTAAGTACTAATGACGGTATAAGTGCAATTAATTTCGTATAGGATAAAGAAATACACACTAAGAATCTGACAGACAACATTTTCGATTTTGTCGATAAAGTTGATTCGTCACAGCTATGATATCACCCTTTTCATGGAGTGGGGTTTGAAATAAAACAACTTAGACAAATTTTACATTCCAGACCTCCAGACACTAGATCCTTGGTAGATCACCTTCATTCAATGTTATCAGATGGCTAATACGAGTTCAAATAGTTCCCTAAACTACGTATCAACCATTACTTCCGACTAAAACAGAAGAACTACTTTCTGGAGATAGATTTAAACATTTTTAATTTAACAGTCATAATTCATCGAACGTGAAGAGGTGAAACTCAAAACTGTGAACATATTCCAGGCAAAGACTGGTTATACAAGTAGAAAGTTAAAAATGTATAAACATATACCATGTTCAAACCAAAGGTCAACATAAAGATTGAATTAAAATAAATGAACGTGAGAAATTTTCAATTTTCGAACCAATATCAATATTTAAAGACGACTAATATTAATCAGGTAAAAGATGACACACCTGATTTGGTTCTATACAGCGGCCCACGTTAATAAGACACCGATCCGTAAAATGTGAGATAAGATTGGGAAGCCATTCATCAACAATAATAATTCGTATCAATCCGCGAATGAATATAAACGTTGCCACTTTCTCCGCGGTAATCATATCCTGTAGGGATGAGACATCGATAAATGCATTTGATTAGGCACTAAAGAAAACGGGTTTCAAACTGACTCACAAATTTGTTCGAATTCCACAGGTATATTATGGTATTTCTCACAGCCTGGTATAAGCGCCCGTACCTAACGAATGAAATGACACAATTTCATAAGTAAAGTTACTGCATAAGGTTAGGATATGTCGTTGTCTCCCATCGAAAACAGGATATAGGATTCCATACTCCGGGAAGACAGTGTTCATCCCGAGGTTCTGAGAATGGCACCCGAAATTCGACAAATCCTGAAAGTAATTACTTAAACCAAAAAGGGATTCACTTACTTTTTAAAAATTCAGAAGACTGATCAAAATCCTCATCAATAAGTAGTTCTGGCGGTGCAATACCCAATAGCAGTGGAGGATATTTAAAACATAGAAAAGTGAGAGGACTTTTAAGAAGGAGTCCAGAAAAGTGTGGGTTGAATTTATTCTGAAGGAAGTTTTGGGGAACCGCAGCGACCCGCTAACGAAATAAAATGGACATAGGATTTCCCTTGACATATAAAAACCAAAAAATACGTACCAGATCTTCAAGGTCGTCACAAGATACCCTCTAAAATGATTAAGGAGTTGCTTAAAAGGTAGTATTAAGAAATAAGCAAATGAAGTTAATAATTTACTCTTGAAATCGAGGAACAAACAAATTCGTTTTTTATTAAACCAAGGCCATAACTGGACTGTATAGGAATTTGACGCCACTTGGAACAATGACAACACTTCCTCCACAACGGAAGCAAATTATTGATGATGTATTCATAGATTAATCTTCCGTTAGTCAAAGTATCAGTATTAGGATAGACTGAAAAACTGGCTTCCCAAAATCGAAAGCGCATTGAATATGAACGCTTCACAGTATCAGTGCAGTATTCACACTTACTAAATATTATATTTACATAAAAAGACGTGAATACTTTAAATCCCTGAAGAATTTTATGCAATTGCGACATACATGTTCACCGAATGAATGATGATGCCATGCCCCTTTAGGCCGATTACGCTCACACCTATGAGATATATTAAAATAGGTATATCTCACTTTGAGCTCACGCCAACGAAGCAAATAGGTCCAAACTCAGAGCAATAAGTGCTTTTAATACATGCATTCTCGTGATACATTCCAACCAGAGGAGATAAAAAGAACGCAAAAAATGTTCAAACGTATCAAGGTCACATAAAACAAATTTATGAACCAATAAAACAATTTTAATACATTAAAACTATAATATCTACATTGATTCCTAGATAAACTTTAAATACGACACAATGATGTACATTTCTCTTTTAATTGGTGATTTGATAAAGATTGGTATTTTAGATAAATTCATTTTATTTCTAGAAATGTTCTGGCTTACAGTTCTAAAATGTCGTATCAAACATCAATTCTGGATTCCTTCCATGGTACTATCATATAAAATTTGGTTAAGTTTTTTAATGAACGGTGGAGGTTTAATACTTATATTAACCTAATATGTTGTTAAACCTTTAAGCTGACGCCAATTTTAAATTCAAATTTATTTACCAATTATAGTAAATAAAATATTGACATTTGCTTAATAGACGTATCGTCAAATTTTAAAAATAACTAAGAAATATAAGCAGCATGAAAATTTCATTTTATTTAATCAATAAATTAGCCGGATTGAATAGTCTGTCCATTTCATATTTATCTTTCTGTCTGTCTCAACTGTGGCCTATTCATATCTAGTTAACAGATTCAACATGCTGACAAAGACTAGACCATATCATATGGTGTCATTGTAGAGGAGTTTTGTTGTACTAATTAACTTAGGAGTAGAAGAACAAACGAATGCCTTTGGAATTCAAATTAAGTCAGATATTTGAAATGGAGTTCTGGTTCATTCTTTCAAGAGAGTTTTCTTCGGCATACATCATTCTGTCAATCGCAATACAGATTAATCGTGGCCAGAAAACAAGAATTTCTTTTAAGATGATTATCATCTACTCCCATGAAGGGGTGTGCTCAGTGAAACCATGTTTAATAGATTAATTTAAACACTCAGGTGTATTTTAATGATGACCCAAGAATTATTTGTATGGTTTACTATACTATGTTATAACTGTTACAAACAGTAACAAATATGTGTTTGACCTACTTTTGGATAAACATATGATTTATTATTCGAACTGTGTGTTTATATCAATGCTGAAGAAACTAATTTGGTTTGTGAATTCGATGCCTAACAGAAGGAGTGGCCTACAATGAAAGCACTGTATTTCCATTAGTTGTGTTTTTGGAAAATTATATTCAAGCAACTAAGTAGAAAGTTGAGATCAAGGTGATGGAAATCAATATCTTGCTGCAAGATATTGAAGGGGAAGGATGAGGATGAAGAAGAGAAAACAAAAGACAATGCTGGCTTCCCGGTTTATGGGGTGGGTGGGAGGGAGCAAAGGTTGAGAGAAGATGACCTTTTTGTGTCCCGATATTTGTTATTTCAAATTGTGCTGAGCGTTACATTTTTCAACTATTATGTGCTTAATAGCATTAACATTTCCTGCACATCAACTGTACATGTGAATACCTAGTCATTAATTGCCATAAATCCAGTAATGTCTCAACCGATATAATATGATAAATAAATTGAACAAAATTTCCTTATTCTTCCATAATTTGCGTTCATTCTGACTAATCTTTTGTATTTTTTTAAATACATTCGTCTGAACACCCAAGGCAATCATACTATTTAAATACAAAGCGCCCCATTACAAACATAGCGTGAACCACTAATTTATTTGAAATCTAGAGCAAAACGATACTCTGATATGTTTGCTACATGTTATAAAAATAAAGACAAACAGAGGGGATCAATTTTGATTTGTTCTTCAAATGGTTCAACTTTATACACCATCCTCTTGAACATTTTTCCAGAACAAGAAAGCTTCATGATGAACCACAACTCTATTGATTACATTCAATAGAGTATCTCTAACCTACACTTTACTATATTAACATTTTCAAGATTCCGAAATATTAAATTACGAGAACATAAGATCTGTCAATTTGTCACATGTTTAATCAGGTACACACTTATCTATCCCTAGAGAACTTGGGCTTCTGGTGATTTATATGTGCTGACTTTCCCATCTTAAGAATTTCCTCATTTCTATACCCTTGCAGGCACATTTTGTAAGAAAATATTTCGCAAATATATTTTCATTAGATAGATACTGCAAAAATAAATACTATGAACTTTAGCTATTTTGATGTTCTCTCACTAGTTTTTGTTGTATTTAGTAGACCTGGATATATTTCATAAGTAGATATACGCGATTTGCACAGCCTCGTGTCCTTAAACTCCTATTTCCAGCGAGTTTGAATTGAAAGGGAAATGGGCACAAATGTAGATATCATCAATATATCTGGAGATTGTTTTCTCATGGGTAGCATTAGTAATGTTTATCAAAATAAAATTTAACATTTTATTTTTTCAATGCTTTAATAGCATCTAAAAATTTAGCTTGATATTCGGTTTTCTAAAGAAGCGGTAGAGTAGTTCTCGATGCGGGAGTCCCTATGCCAATTCGATCCATTCAGGTGTGCACTTTCCCAAGATGTCAGACAAATTTAAACCTGGAAGTAAAGAAATTCGAATGAACGTGAGCCTGTGTTCTTGAAAATCAATGATTACTATGATCTTTACTTCTCGTTCCTTGAAAATTCGCTATATTTTCCTTCCCTCTCATTCTATCACTCACTTCCATTTGCTCAATAAATTCTCAGTCCAATTTAACTCACAGTCTTACTTATAAAAGACCATCGTTATTTCTAGGAAGACCATAAATTCTATGAGGAGCCATATGGCCTAAGTTTTATCAGTCTTTAGTAATGTTAGGATCCCAATTGGTTTCAAGACCTATATCTAACCTATTTCTTCTTATTCCCTTAATAAGTGGTGCTTTGTCCATGTCCAATTTATGTATACCGCATTACAATTTGTTTAAATAAACTTAATGAATAGATTTATTTGTTTGTTTATTTATTTATTTGAAATGGCTGGCTTTACGATAGTTTTCATTAGCCCTTAGCTGACTTTGGGCTTCATTAAGGGGAAGAACTTCAAAGTCACAAAATGTCGAGAGGGGAATAAATAACTGCCCGAATATGTGCCTAACCTCCTTTTCCACCCAGATGAAAGAACCAAAACTATTTGCACGTTTGTAATAGAGATCCTTTTTTATTATATTGAATTAACACTGCTTCGGAGGGTTGACAACTTAAAGATTTGACTTCCCATCCCTGATCTATTAAATGCGTAATATGTTGAATTCCATCAAGGCAAATTTAGCTTTCTTAACCAGCAGACAAAAATAGAAAATGAAGGGGCAAGGCAGTCGCTTCTTAATTTAAAATCCGGTAACAAGAAGGGAAGACCTGTCAAAGAACTGTATTACTATTTATCCCAATTTGACCTTCATTTAAATCACTTACATCAGAGTTCGGATATTCCTGCTGTCAGATTTGCCTTGGTCTTCCGCTGAAAGCCCTCATTACACTTTTGACACCTTCACATTTTGCCCCTTCCCACGGTGGCATTATTGTCTGACTTATTGCTTCCTCCCTTCATCTCCCTGAATTTCCATTTTTTACTCAGTAAAGCTCTGCAACTGACAGTCTGCCCCTTTTGCGCCACCTGTTTCTTGGTGAAGTCCAGTAGTTACAAGAAGGGAGGAGTTAGTGATCTATTCTCGGGGTCAGAAATAAGACGCATTGTAGTTCTGCTATTATAACTGAGGGTGGAAGCTATTACAAGCCCAATGATTAATGCAAACTTGTAAGTGCTTTATGACAAACTTTGAATTGTAATTATAAAACCAATTCTCGGATTTAATTTACAGAAAAGTATTTTACCAGACAATGGTAACAAAGTATATATCGAGAGAAGGAAAATCCGGAAAGATGAACCAGTCGCTATTGAATTGGAAAGGTCATTTTGGCAAATAAACGCATGTCCATTTCTTTACGAAGCCCTTCTATTCAAATTACCTCCTCACCAATGTCGATTACCTTGTGGTATACTTGTTGCCCAGTGGTCCATTAATTTCCCCTATTTTCTGAAGCCCACATTTAAAGAATTTTTTCATCATTCAAACAACTTAACACAATTTTCATTCATTTATTCGCTCTGAATATAAGCACTCACATCACAATCTCCGTCTCCTTCCCACTTAAAGTTAGTAGAAATAATTCGGATTAGGTCCCCTATAATTAATACTCATCCTGTCCAAATAGTTTACTCTTAAAAGCTAGAAATACGCATTTCTTGTGGCACTTCTTTGTAAGAAAACAACTATTAGTTGGCACAGACCTAGATTAATCAGTTAAGTGATGATATTACTCACCTTATCTGAAGCCATCTCATCCATTTAGTCGAACCAGAACGCACATTAGCTCATTTCGCCATAAAATAGCCTCCTTTCGCGACATCGAGTTTCAAGGTGGTGCAAATGTAG